CCCTTTTGCCAGTGCAAGTCGGAGACCGTCACCAACGCGGAAAATAAGAACATCCCAAGCACCCAATTTCGCGAAATTCAATCGAAATGAAGGCGTGGCGTCCTGTTGCCCTCTTGCTGCACGATCCTTGATTGTTATCGCTAGTTGCGTGGCCAGCGTGTGAGTCAGACAGTCGTCGTCTCCGTCCGACTCATCGCTGGTCAGACCATCTGCCTACCCAGCTGTAGTCCAGCACTCACGACGAATTCGCGTTATTCTTTCCACCTATTCAGGAGGCGTTTTTAGTTCTTGAAATGGCTGAGGGTTTGCGGATCGGACCGATTTCCCCTCCTGACTCCCAGCTGTTCATATTCGACATCTCTGACCTTTTCAAATTCTCACGAGGCGAGTCGTCTGAGACCGTAAAAATTCGACCGTAATTTGACAAACATACACTGCGTCCCATAATTATACGTCCACCTAAGAATTTCCCAAAATCTCAGAAATACAGATGTTACGAAAAAAGTCTCCTATGTGACAATGTATCGCATATAAATACGCAATTGCCTATGAACATCAATTTTCTATTTGAGATCACAGGAATTTTTCCCAATAATTTTTGTGTAAAAGGCCACTCAGCCGACGTCCCAAAATTATACGTCCACCTCACGTTTATCGATTACTTTTCACTTCTGTTCCACGAAACTTTTTCATTGTGGTAACACTTCACTTCTTAAGAGAACAGCATAATAAAGACTGCTGTTGGATTTTGAGAAAGGGAAAATGTCGCAAAAACTGTTGAACAACGGAACCGCACCAGATTTGGTCCAGATTCACGCCAAGCTTGAGAATTTTTTCAGGGGTTTCACATGATATGGAGCTTAGAAGAGCTCTAAAAGTCTCTCATTACTTTCATTGAAAGAAATAGAAAAAAAAAAAAGAAAAAAAACAAAAAAAAACAAAAAAAAAACAAAGGCCGTGTTACAGAAATAACATCCATTTTCATCCAACGGTGCTCTGTCATCGAATCTTCTTGAGAACTTTATGCCTCAACAGACTTTTGTTTCATGCATGTAAAGGAATCCCAAGATCGTTCTTGATCGGAAAATGTGAAAGACGTTCATTTGTGGCAAGGAATCGTGGCGAAAACTGGGCTGATTTTTGCATGAAGGTGCAGCCGAGCCGACTGAAGTAAGGTTCGCTTCTGCCCGATATGTTTTGGCATTTGTTTGTTTCTCTTCTCACGTTCTACCTTTCCCTTAATGGCTTTTTTCTTAGAGGAGCACTACTAAAAGAAAGAAAATGTTGAAAAGAAAGACGGACAAACACTCATGCAGCAAGGGAAAAAGGACCCTGCTCCAGTCGGCTCGGCTGCACCTTCATGCAAAAATCAGCCCAGTTTTCGTCACGATTCCTTGCCACAAATGAACGTCTTTCACATTTTCCGATCAAGAACGATCTTGGGATTCCTTTACATGCATGAAACAAAAGTCTGTTGAGGCATAAAGTTCTCAAGAAGATTCGATGACAGAGCACCGTTGGATGAAAATGGATGTTATTTCTGTAACACGGCCTTTGTTTCCATCGAAAAGTAATGAGAGACTTTTAGAGCTCTTCTAAACTCCATATCATGTGAAACCCTGAAAAAATTCTCAAGCTTGGCGTGAATCTGGACCAAATCTGGTGCGGTTCCGTTGTTCATCAGTTTTTGCGACATTTTCCCTTTCTCAAAATCCAACAGCAGTCTTTATTATGCTGTTCTCTTAAGAAGTGAAGTGTTACCACAATGAAAAAGTTTCGTGGAACAGAAGTGAAAAGTAATCGATAAACGTGAGGTGGACGTATAATTTTGGGACGTCGGCTGAGTGGCCTTTTACACAAAAATTATTGGGAAAAATTCCTGTGATCTCAAATAGAAAATTGATGTTCATAGGCAATTGCGTATTTATATGCGATACATTGTCACATAGGAGACTTTTTTCGTAACATCTGTATTTCTGAGATTTTGGGAAATTCTTAGGTGGACGTATAATTATGGGACGCAGTGTATAGAGTAGTCGCAACCGCCCACAGCCGTACTTGACGTCTTTTGTGCTTTAAGATGTGTCCGTCAATGGAAACTGCAAGTTTCCCATCCCGATGAAGGACCATTTGCGTAACGAATCGTCGAAGCTGATCATAGTAACCGCTCATAGATGTTTTCGGAGGGGTATGACCAACCAGTAGGCAGAACACGTAGGTAAACAACGGGTGTTCGAGCACCTCTTCTTCCTCTAACACCTGGCACGTACGCTTCTCCACTGCCACACTCTGAAGCTCTCATTCGTTGATAGCCCCCCGTGTTTACTGTTCTGGATTTCGGCCCGAAACCGTGACAATTGAGGGCAGCATGTTTCCTACCAGACAAATCAGGCGATACAAGCCCTGGAATCTCACATCTGGTCGACATTTTTATAGGATGCGCCTACAATTAGGTCAAGTCTGCCAGACTCATTTGCAGCGGTTCGCTTATTCGTCAAACGGGCGTTTTCAGTGGATTTGTTGTTTCACATCGTCACATCTTAAGATTACAACGTCTCCCTTTCCGGCTTCATGACAAGCAGACTCTCCATGTCCTCCGCCAAAATATCGTATATTTATTTAAACGTATTGTTAGTATTTCACGCATATGTGGGCGGAAGTGGTGTAGTGACAAGTGGCGCGCTTACCACGCGAGCGGTCCGGGATCAAATCCTGGGTCGTGAGTCGCCCGGGCCAACCAAGCCTTCCATCCCTCCGGGGTCGGTTAATTGGTACCAGACTTGTCTGGGAGGATAAAAACACTGACTTGAACATCGGCTGGCCCCCGCAAGTCATTGTAGGCCACATCGCATTCAAACGCCACTACGAATGTACAAATGGAAGTAGAATGCGTGCCGCATCCCAAAAGGGATTGATCAACGGCAAATGCTTTATCCTTTATCCTTTTTTATATTCCTTGAACTATCAACCCCCCCTCCCCCCCAATCCTTATGCCTTGGGCCAGCAGTTGGATGCTCTAAACCCCCCCCACGCTCTTCCGAAACCGGTCCCTTCCAATTCCCCCAACAAGGACACACTTGGATCTTCGCTGTTTTGCTGGCTCTTCTTGTTAACCTCTTCATGTGTGACCATCTTGCTGGCACATTGCGACAGCTAAAACCAAGAACTATGTTTTGTAAGAACTCAGTCATTGATAAAGATAAGAGTTGGCTGATAGGTTGAACCACACCGTGCCTTAAACACTACAACTATCAAATCTGCCGATTTCATCTATAGTAAAACCACCGATTTGACATCAACTATTTGCCCATTCCGCCTGGTATATTCACTAAAAAAACTATATTTGGCCGATTTTTTTACGAGATTTTTTATATGAGAACCTTTGCTACTGGCACTACGAGCACACCCACCAAACGTCACCAACCACGAATAAAAGAACACACCCCCACACCAACACCGCCGACCCCAACAACCCCCCCATCCCACCACCCCCCCCTGCACAAATTTGTCGCCGAAATTCATTCTCGACATGACAGCGCGTGCGTCCCTGTTGCCCTCTTGCTGAATCGATCCTTGATTTCATGGCCGGCTGGTTGCGTGCAATCATCGTGAGTCAGACCAGTCCCGTGCAGTTCTTCTTGTCCCGTACTCAATAGCTGTCAGACATATGCCTACCCAGCTGTAGTCAGCACTAGCACGGACACCAATTCACGTTATCCTTTCCGCGTAGTTCAGTCGAGGCGTTTTTAATGTCTTCCAAATGGCCTGAGGGTTTTTAGCGGGCATAAGCCGATGTGCCCTCCTCCGTCCGCGCGTTCATGTCCCGACATTTTGCTCATGAACGCTTCAACATCTCACGAGCAAGTCGTCTGAACCTTCTCACAGAATCGTGTTTCGAGTTAGGCAATCGCGACCGCAATACTTATATTCCATTAGTGTCTTAGAAGTGTCCGTCAATGGAAAGCTGCAACTTTTCATCACGACGGAGGCATTTGCGTAACGAGGTTAATCACTGTAACTGCTCACAGATGTTTTGGGAGGGGCATGGCCAACCAGTAGACAGAAGAGAAAGCCGTGAACCACGGTGTCTCGAGCACGTCTCTTCCTTGACACCCGAGTTAACCTTCCCCACCGCCACACTGTGAACTCTCTCTGCCTAAATACAAATTTACTGTTCTGAATTCGGTTACTAAAGCCCTGCGATTGAGCAGCATTCCTAACTAACAATAGCCCCTGGAACCATTCCATGCTGTATACATGTGGTAGAATCCCGCCTACAAACTTAAGTTCAAGTCTCAGACCTCATTTCAAGCCGGTTCGCTTATTCGTCACGGGCGTTTTTCTAGCGATCGTTGTTCGTGTTCTCGTTGGAATTTTCTGTACAACGCTCAGCTCTAGAGGAGTTTTTAAACCAATTATTTTGTGATATTCTGTCTCTAAGTAACCGTTGCACTTTCTGCGTACGCTAAAAATTATGGCTTCGTCGTTATCGGTGCACTTTTAAGATAAGGTGCAGATCTTGGCAGGTTTCTCCTGCCGCTATTTCTCATTAATAACACCGAGCATCGCTCGATCCCAACCGATCTTAGGGGAGTTCTAGAAATACTCACCTCAGCAGCGTCATGTTCGTGAAACAGCTAATTTAATTTTTAGCCTTATCGCGACTTTTCATTCAAAAACCTGCTCGCTGGCTTAACCAGAACCATGGAGTCAGCCAAATTTCGCGCATTCGCAAAACAAGCTGCTGTGGGCTGTGGTGCTCGCTGATTGGGCTTGTGGCGTGCTTGTTTTCCTCTCGTCCTGATCACGATTGGCCCCTCCTGTTGGCGTTTCAAGCCGTTATTCTCGAAGCATTCCCTCAATGTATGGCCTTCAAAAACACATTCCCTTCTGCTTCTAGCCGGGATCTCCCTTCGCGCTGCTCTGATGTTATGATTTCGTAACTCGTTCGCTATTCATGTTTCCTGTTCCTCTATCCCCGAAGTTTGCTTTTCAGTCTCATGGCCGAGACCTTCCTCTCATGTGACACCATGAAAATTCATCCGGCAAAGGAGACGAAAAAAGGTTTGTGATTGTTTTCTCAACGGATCTGTGGGGTGTGGCCACAGCGCCGCGTGAGCGCGAGGCTAAGAGTGGCCAGACTGAGAGCCCTGGAGGTCCCAGTATGCCGTTACCTATACTGTAGTTCAAAGAAGGCACTACTTCAAAGAAAGTTTGAAAGCAAGAAAGTTCAGGTGATGGGCGACTAAGGGAAAATATTTCTTGCATTGTTTCTATTGGATAACTGCCGCAGTTCGCGTTGCGAAAGTTATCACAAGAATGCTGAGTTGTGGCAAAACTTTCGCCCCAGCCGGGATTCGTACCCGGATCTCTTGCTTTCCGGGCAATTGTGCTACCAGTTACACTACCGGGGCACCATTTCGCTCCAACTCAGCTTCGATGGTAAAGTTACCATATTTCTTTTGTGTTAGTCATTCACAGCCTTGCAAAAAAGGGTGTGACTTTTTTCAAGTTCGTCATTACAATTGACCAGCTGCACTGTCCCTCAAAGTAGTGTCCCGACCAATGATCAGATTTTTTGAGAAACCTCTTGAAGTGTTTGCGAACAGGTGATTTCTGCCATTGATGAGATTCTTGTCTAGCAGCTGCCCACATAGAGATATGATAAGCGGATAATCACTGGCGTGTTACCCTCACTATAGCACAACCTTACCATATCGCACTACTCCGATGTAACGAATTTATTTCCACCCACTTTTATCGGGATTTTTTTCCATTACGCAAAAGGTCATAGAGTTCTCGGATCTCCTTTCTATGTTACTGCCTTGCATTACCAAAGCGGAATTTGGAGGTACATAGAAGGGTATTTTGACAAAGCGCCCCCACATCATTCTATGCAGTACACTCTCCTTCTGGATTACACGCTACCTATATTACCAGGCTTATATCATTTCAGAACCTCAGCCGATGATCGTCCTCTCAACCGCCGCCTTGGCCACCGATGATTCGCAGAGATTTCGACGAGTCAAGCCACCTATGCCAAAAATGTGCTGCGTATTGCCTGTCAATGCGGGTGAGCTCTAATGCATTTCGTGCACTTATAAACAGAAACCAGCGCTCACTCTTATTAAGGAAGACGTTTGCCATTCATGAAGTACACAAAGGTGCGTAGGCCATGTGTATGCGTGTGAAAAGACATACTCGCCGCGAACGCTTTGCTCCAGCGGCGCTCATGTCTTAGGGGGGTGTCAAAACAGGGCATTCAAAAACCGCTGGTAGTTGACACTACGGCCAAGCCCAGGAGAGGGGGAAACGCCAGGGAGACAAAAGTTGCTCATTTCCATCGCCCGGATTCATTACCCTCCTCGATGCTTAGTCCCAAGAACTATAAGACCCACTCGTTTAAAGAACCCCCTAACGACATGAGCGCCCTCCAGTGTAGGTTTCACTACAGTGTTTCATCATTTCAAATACAATCAATTTGAACGACGTGATTCTCCAGTGTAGCAACCAGCGAATAGAAAAGAGAAAAAGATCAAGATAGTTCTCGCTTCATTTTCAATTAATTCCCGCTCGCATTTTGACCTGGGTCTCGGAAATCAGCTTGAACCCTACAAGAAGTAAGGTGGCCAGGTCAGAAGGAGACAGAGCCTTTGGATACATGAAAAAGGCTTTACCAGTGCTGACATGACCCTGAATCATCAGAGTTTCGCGGCTATTCAGCCCAACCCCACCCTTCACAAGCAGTCTATGGGTGCTGCAGCAATGGGCAGAGACTGCGTAGGGGCTTAGTGAATGACGAACGGCAGGATTTTCATGGAGTCCGGGGTCCACCGCTGAACACAGCTGTATGACTTTGATGCCCACGCATATGTCCTGCCTTGTTTTTATCATCTTTTTGTGATGTTTATCGTCGTGTAAGTATACACAAATATCTAACAATAAACATTCACGTTTCCCACTCGAGCAACGCACAAGGAGCTCCACACAGCCCAGCCTCTTTATCACTAGTCCAGCCTCTTTCAGCAGCCATATTCGGCATCGCATCGACTTCGTTGTTGGCAACCGCTCTCTTCATCTACTGCGTCATAAATTTGACATCATCAACGTCTACTTTGGGCAACGTTGGTGGAACGAAAATGATTGGTAGGTTTTTACCTCATTTCATGCACTACCTCATCCGCTCAATATGCAATAAAAACTTGCGATGGAAGGTAATAAACCTCAGAAAATAACGACTAAATTCTGATAAAAATTGATGCCACAATTGGGGTCACACATTATGCAATTAAACCCGAATTAGTGATACGGGACCTATTTGCGACTTTATTGGCACTAAGACGTTTGAAAAAGTCCTCTAACGTAAGAGTTGTGCCGTAAAATACGCAGGACTAACAGGGAGGTCTTCAAGGGCAAGCCGCGCTTCTTGAAAACGGTTTCTTTCTTCATTGTAGGATCGCGATAGTAGGATATGGATTACAAAACCATGCTTCGTTTTCGCTAAACGGTTTTCAGTAACGTCGAAAAAGTGGTGAATGATACCCTCGGTGGCTCGATTCCCCGCGGCAAATAAATTTTGCAAGTCAAGGTTGGAGGCAACTTTTTGGTCTCAGAATAGTCCTGACGATGAATGTGACATCTTATTTTGACATTTGGCACGATTTGGCACCAATTCGGAGGCGGCAACCCAAATGCAAAATTTAGTCGCCACAGGGGTCGTACCGTAACAGTATCTTATGCTTCTTTTTTAGGTATTAGCTTAAAGACCGTTCAGCAGAACGAAAACACTGGTTTGTGTGTTAAACATTGCAAATATCAAAGTCCCACAATATGCGAGGATAGTTTTGAAATAAGCGTGGCTTGCTTACCGTGGAGACACCCCCCCCTGTAAGAAATCCCGAACTGCGATTCAGAATAGTGTCTACAAGACCCAAGTATAGCTAGCTGCATCTAGTGCTGACCTTCACCTAGCGATGGGCCCCTATACTAGCAACAGAACTGTTGCGAGTAGAGAAAATTCTGGTGAACATAAACCTCTACTAGACCAACATTCTTGGCAAAATCCTAACTTATAACAGTTTTTGATTGGTTTTGTTGTTAAGTGCTGTTTAGAGCCACAGTTTGTGTTGCGAAATTTCACAAAATCCTGAGTTATGAGCAAAATTTGCACCCCGGGCTGGAATCGAACACGTACCCCTAACCAGCTAAATAAGACTGGAAGCTAAAGCTAAAAGTGGCGCTGTTGCAAGACACGGGGATAGACACGTTATTATAGTAATGCATTTAAAACAACCGAGAACATCTGAAATCGGGACTAAGCCGGGGTAGAAGAGACTCCAAGGTGCATGAGCAATTTTCATTTTCCCCCATGCTCCTGCGCCCTCCTAAACTTAGTCCTGAAGGATGCCCCTGTACATTGCGATAGCGCCCAAAGGTCTTGTATGTATTGAGCATTAGCTATTAAATGTACTTCAAGCATATTCAATGTGAATAATGTTCAGCTCTCTTGTCTGTTGGGCTGGCTATCATTCTTCTCTTCGCCGTGCTGTTTGTGTGGGGTGTGTTTGCCGTTCGACAACGTCTTCTGCTGCCCTTCACCACACTCTCCTGCTTTCTCCTGTTCGCTGTCGTCGGTTAGTCAGTCGTTCAAACTTTTTCCATACTCCTCTTACTGATATGATCTCCAAATGGACTGCGACCCGATGACTAAGCGATCAATGCAAACAGAAAACTGTTTACAGAAGGGTTTGTGAGTGCTTCTTTAGACTTGCTGCAGGGGAGTAAAGTGAGACCAGTGGGAGGGACGGGGGCACGACAATGCTGAGAGTCTAGTCATAGCTCCGCACAAAAAGGTGTACCATCCGAAAGAATAATCTGGGCAGACCCGTTGCACTTTCTTACAATTTTGGCCTTGATTAACACAATTTCCTGTGGAAACCCTCTCCAAATTAAGCCAACTCCCAATTTGTCTTCTTCTTCTCATTGCAAATTTGTTTAGGGACTCTAATTGCCACCATGGTGACAAGCGCTGATGAGTTCAATGCTGCAGTATCGAAAGCCGACGGAACCAGTGGTGCTACCGTAGCGGATCTCGTGATATTCAGGTCAGTTATGAACACTTGATATGCATCGAAATCGGGAAACCTAACGAGCGCCACTTCCACCGACGCCTCGCTCATTGTGTGAGTTGCCTCTTGGCTCGTCGCCATTGCAGTCCGGCCGCACAGTTCGGAATGTATGAAGCGAGCTTTCGTCGCCATTCAAGGGTGAATGCTGCCAATCCTATCATTTTATTGTCTTCCGTTTTATCATAGGCACGCGTATGATGTGCGCGGTACTGCGCCCAAACGATCTCGAATAGTGGCCTGTGATGTGAGATAGTGTTAGCCGTTCAAAATCCTTCACTGGCATAATGACGGTATGTATGGGAGGATTCTCATAAGGATATTGTAGTTAAAACGATGTAATATGATAAAGAACATTCCTACGAGCCAGGAGGTCGCGCTGTTTGCTTACCCATCTTTGCGGAGACATCGAGATATTTCGTAAAGGTACGGTTGGCGTGTTCGATCTCTTTGGTTATGCGCTGCGCCACGCCACTCTGCTTATTCTGTTCAAAGTGGAACCGTTGTGGTCTAATATTGATTGCGGGACTAGCCGTTGTATGATTCCTGTTTCTTCCAACAGGTTGGTGCGTGAAGTAGAGTAAGACGAATAACGTGAACTTCGCGAGAGGAGGCGAGTGTGATGAATGGCTGCGTGACTGGCGTGCGATTTAGGAGATATATACGGATAGTTGTGTGTGTGAGCCCCAGGGCCATTTGCCATGTCCACGGTCGTTAGGGGACGTTGTCTGAGGAGATGTGGCAGATTAAATTTTTGGCTTATGCGTAGTGGTAGCACTAAATGAATGGCGTAGACCTTCAGAAGCTTGAAAAAATCATCAGAGCGCTACATTCTGCCAACAGGTTCTGAGGACTTCACCAACCGAGTTCTTATGTCGAGCAAGCCTTTCGAGAAAGGGGAAGTCATGGGCTACACAGTCCTCAAACACGAGTTGTATCGACGTCCGCGGTTTGAATTTTTCGATCCGCGTGGGTACGGGAATTGGCGCGTTTTGTGGAGAGCGTGGCCGCTTCACCACACATTCATAACATTTTGAGGGTGGCACAGAACAGGATGGCAGAAATGAATTCCACTAACGTGATGCACTAAAATCGTCCGAAGGTACATAGAGTGTGGACCAAAAGCACGACGTCAAAAAGCAAATCTTATTATCGCTGTGATGGACTTTGAAAGCATGTTCGATGTGGCTGTTCCAATTAAAACATCCCCCAACATAAATTCCGTATTCTTTGTTCTTGCACAATTATGACAAAAAAGTGCCAAACGAGTAATGAACCGGACTGAGAAAGCGGTAGGGATTGGAAAACTACTGCTAAGCTGAAGCTCTTCAAGTAGACCTGTGGACCACGTGCTTATTATAATTGTGTTATGTTTTGGTCTACAGAATACATAACAAAGAAAATCAGAAGAATCGCCTCAGAATGCGACCTGGGTGCGAGCCGCACCCGCGTCGCGCTGTCCCATGTGTTCGCCGGAGTGCGAGGCGCATGCTTACTGTACTGTCGCCAGTGTGTTAAAAGTACTTCACTTGAACAATTGTACAAAGTTGCGACCAATCTAATTGCCAATGACACCCAATGAATGTATTTTATGGGCTTTCAATTAGTGAAAAATGAGTTGAGTCGCACTTGCAAGCGAGCGGATACCTGTTAGAGGAGTGCCACAAACATTAGCAGTAAGTGCAGCGCTTTTCTGTGAACATTAGCAAGACTGCCAAAGCTGTCAATGTCACGTAACTGGTTTCAGGGTCGTCCTCGGTGTCGCGGCTCTTGTGCTTGCCATTGAACTGTACGCATACATTCGACTGTTCCTGCATATAAGGGCAGTGAGTCGCACGTTATCGCGATGAACGCGCTGAGACGTCGACGAATGCAGCTGTTGCTTTCTGAACCGGTGTCTTACATGGGATCGCTATGAAGTTAATCGTGTTGGTAGAAGAAAAGCACGCCTTTTCCCCCTCCAAACGATACTTTGGAAGTTCCTGTCATTGCTGCTCTCTTTCTGCCTTAGCCTGGTACGGATAGAATACGGGTGAAGTTTTCGAGGCCGTGGGGGGATCGAAGGGGTTTTTAACCTCTTGTTTACGAAGCTACGAAACGAGGAAATATAGCCTTCAGATACGGGTCTCGATTGTCCAGGTGAGGTATTTCCAGCCCTCGGGCTCCATTCTTAGCCAACCTTTTTCTGCTCTCTTATGTCAACGAGGTTTTTAGTTGTGAGTGGGATTCCTTCCATTTCCGTCACTTCATTTCCAAAATTTTTAACTGATGACTATTACGGCTAGAAGAAACACGAATATTTAAGGTTAGGAAAAATCTGTTCATTAGAAATTGTGTGCCAAACTCTTCATTTTTCTTCCAAGAAAACTGTTTTATTGTTTCAAGCCACTTGATTCATTACTTGTATGTATGTATATATGGGTTGTGCGAATAAATTACTTCTCTATTATCACACATTACACATAATATACATTTAAAAGTGCTACTGTCGCGATCAACCAAAGCGATCGACACGGCCGATATCGACAGATCGATTTGAGGCGGTGTGTAGCAGCAGCGAATAGAAAAGCAAAAAGACAAATTAGTTCTCGTTTTCATTTTCATCAATTCCCGCTCGCATTCTGTCGCCCTTTGCTCGGCAATCAGCTGGAACGCTGACAAGAAATAGGGGGAGCGCAGTAGAAGGAGACTGAGCTTGGATACATGAAAAAGGCTTTACCAGTGGCTGACATGACCCTGAATCATCAGAGTTTCGCGGCTATTCAGCCCAACCCCACCCTTCACAAGCAGTCTATGGGTGCTGCAGCAATGGGCAGAGACTGCGTAGGGGCTTAGTGAATGACGAACGGCAGGATTTTCATGGAGTCCGGGGTCCACCGCTGAACACAGCTGTATGACTTTGATGCCCACGCATATGTCCTGCCTTGTTTTTATCATCTTTTTGTGATGTTTATCGTCGTGTAAGTATACACAAATATCTAACAATAAACATTCACGTTTCCCACTCGAGCAACGCACAAGGAGCTCCACACAGCCCAGCCTCTTTATCACTAGTCCAGCCTCTTTCAGCAGCCATATTCGGCATCGCATCGACTTCGTTGTTGGCAACCGCTCTCTTCATCTACTGCGTCATAAATTTGACATCATCAACGTCTACTTTGGGCAACGTTGGTGGGACGAAAATGATTGGTAGGTTTTTACCTCATTTCATGCACTACCTCATCCGCTCAATATCATAAAAATTGCGTGGAAGGTATAAAAATCAGAAATCGAATAAAAATTCTGATATTGATCCCTGGGGTCACACATTACTGCCAATAACCGAATTAGTGGAAGGGATTTTGCACATTCGTGACTTGATTTCACTAACTTTTGAAAAGTCCTCCAACGTTGGTTGTGCTGTTAAAGCGTCGGCTAACAAGGGCAAGCCGCGCTTTTTGGAAACGGTTTCTTGCATATTGTAGGGACGCATGTATGGACCACAAAACCATGTTTCGTTTTCGCTGAACGGTTTTAGTATCAAAAAAGTGGTGAATGATACCCTCGATGGTTCGATCCCCGCGGCGACTAAATTTTGCAATCAAGGTTGGCGGCCACTTGTTGGCTTCAAAATGGTCCTGACGATGATTGTGACATCTGATTTTGACATTTAGCGCGATTTGGCACCAATTCGGAGGCGCCAACCCAAATGCAAAATTTAGTCGCCACGGGGGATCGAACCATTAACAGTACCTTATGCTTCTTTTTTGGTACTGCTAAAACCGTTCAGCGAAAATGAAACATGGTTTTGTGTTCCCTACATGCGTCCCTACAATATGCAAGAAACCGTTTTGAAAAAGCGTGGCTTGCCCTGAAGACCCCCCTTGTAAGAAATGCCCGAACTGCGTTATTATCAGATTAGTGTCTACAAGACCCAGATACTAGCTGCTCTGTGCTTGACCTTCACCTAGGTGGGCCGTGTACTAGCAAAGCAGCCTGTTTGGGCGAGTAGAGAAAATTCTGGTGAACATAAACCTCTATTAGACCAACAGTCTTTCCAAAATCCTAACTTATATCAGTTTTTGATTGGTTTTGTTGTTAAGTGCTGTTTAGAGACACAGTTTGTGTTGCGAAATTTCACAAAATCCTGAGTTATGAGTAAAATTGCACCCGGGTGGAATTCGAACACGACGCTAACGCAGCTAAATAGACTGGCAGGTAACTTAAAGTGCGCTATGCAAGACACGGGAAGACCACGTTATTCTAGACGAATGCTTTACAACAACCGAGAACTCTGATCGGACTTAGAGCCGGGTAAGAAGAGACTCCTAAGTGCCTGAGCCATTTTCATTTCCCCATATTCTTCTGCGTCTCCTAACCTAGTCTGAAGATGCCGCCTGTACTTTGCGATAAGCGCCCAAAGGTCTTGTATGTATTGAGCATTAGCTATTAAATGTACTTCAAGCATATTCAATGTGAATAATGTTCAGCTCTCTTGTCTGTTGGGCTGGCTATCATTCTTCTCTTCGCCGTGCTGTTTGTGTGGGGTGTGTTTGCCGTTCGACAACGTCTTCTGCTGCCCTTCACCACACTCTCCTGCTTTCTCCTGTTCGCTGTCGTCGGTTAGTCAGTCGTTCAAACTTTTTCCATACTCCTCTTACTGATATGATCTCCAAATGGACTGCGACCCGATGACTAAGCGATCAATGCAAACAGAAAACTGTTTACAGAAGGGTTTGTGAGTGCTTCTTTAGACTTGCTGCAGGGGAGTAAAGTGAGACCAGTGGGAGGGACGGGGGCACGACAATGCTGAGAGTCTAGTCATAGCTCCCACAAAAGGGGTACCATCCGAAAGAAAAAACTCTAGCGCGCACACCCGTTGCACTTTCTCAAATTTTGGCCTTGATTAACAATTTCCTGTGGAACCCTCTCCAAATTAAGCCAACTCCCAATTAGTCTTCTTCTTCTCATTGCAAATTTGTTTAGGGACTCTAATTGCCACCATGGTGACAAGCGCTGATGAGTTCAATGCTGCAGTATCGAAAGCCGACGGAACCAGTGGTGCTACCGTAGCGGATCTCGTGATATTCAGGTCAGTTATGATCATTGATATGCATCGAAATCGGGAAACCTAACGAGCGCCACTTCCAAGTCCGACGCCTCGCTTATTGTGTGAGTTGCCTCTTGGACCACCCGTCGCCATTGCAGCTCGGCCACATCTCGGCATGATGAACGAGCTTTCGTTCAATCCCATCCAAGGAATGCTGCCAATCTATCATTTTTATTTTCCCTCACGCTTTTATCATAGGCACGCAGAGTTTGCCGCAGAACTGCGCCCGAAACGATCCGCTTATTGGCTGTGAGGGAGAAGTGGAGCCTTCAAACACATTCTCCACTGCATTATTACGGGTTGGAAGAAATCTTGAAGTATGTGGTTAAAAGATTAATATTTAAAGAACATTTCTAAGTGCCAAGGAGGTTGGCCTGTTCGTTACCCTGTTTCGCGAGCAAAGAGATACTCTATATAAAAGGTATGGCACTTGGCGTTGTTCAGTCTCTATTGGCTTATTGCGATGCGCCACGCACTCTGCTTCCATTCTGATTCAAAGTCGTATTCATGGAATACACATTGAATTGCGGGGACCAGCCGATGTATAATTCACTGTTTCCTTCCAACCAGTCTGGTGTGGTAACAATAACATAACTTCGGAAGGATGGAAGGATGAAATGGCTGGGACGGCGCGCGATTAGGATATGATTCAGATCGTGGGTGAGCGGCGCCACTTGCCACTGCTCCACGTCCTCCGTTACGGGGACGTAGTCGAGGAAGAATGTCGCACCGAATTAAGATTTTTGGCTTATGCAGCGAGCACTAAATGAATGGCTAGATCTCCAAAACTTGGAAAAAAATCCATCAGAGCGCTACACATTTTCCAACTCAGCGTCCATTAGACTTCACCACGAGTTCTTATTTGAGCAAGCCTTCGAGAAAGTGGAATCATGTCTACCAACAGTCCTCCAAACACATCGACAGCACGCGTTTTGAATTTTTCGACCGCGTGGGACCGGCGCGATTTTGTGAGAGCGTGGCCGCTTCCAACTTTCATACATTTTTTGATGGTGCACAGGATGCGAATGAATCCGTCTTCCGTTCGATGTGCACTAAAATCGTCCGATAGGTCTGAGTTATACGAAGCACGACGTCAAAAAGCAAATCTTATTATCGCTGATGATGGACTTTGAAAGCATGTTCGATGTGGCTGTTCCAATTAAAACATCCCCCAACATAAATTCCGTATTCTTTGTTCTTGCACAATTATGACAAAAAAGTGCCAAACGAGTAATGAAACCGGACTGAGAAAGCGGTAGGGATTGGAAAACTACTGCTAAACTGAAGCTGCTTCAAGTAGACCTGTGACCACGTGTATTGTGTTATTGTTTTGGTCTCAGAATAACACAAGAAAATCAAGATCGACTCATGCGACTTTGGCGCGAGCAGCACTTGCGTCGCACTGTCCCATGTGTCCTCCAAAGTGCGAGGCGCATGCTTACTGTACTGTCGCCAGTGTTTTAAAAGTACTTCACTTGAACAATTGTACAAAGTTGCGACCAATCTAATTGCCAATGACACCCAATGAATGTATTTTATGGCTTTCAATTAGTGAAAAATGAGTTGAGTCGCACTTGCAAGCGAGCGGATACCTGTTAGAGGAGTGCCACAAACATTAGCAGTAAGTGCAGCGCTTTTCTGTGAACATTAGCAAGACTGCCAAAGCTGTCAATGTCACGTAACTGGTTTCAGGGTCGTCCTCGGTGTCGCGGCTCTTGTGCTTGCCATTGAACTGTACGCATACATTCGACTGTTCCTGCATATAAGGGCAGTGAGTCGCACGTTATCGCGATGAACGCGCTGAGACGTCGACGAATGCAGCTGTTGCTTTCTGAACCGGTGTCTTACATGGGATCGCTATGAAGTTAATCGTGTTGGTAGAAGAAAAGCACGCCTTTTCCCCTCCAAACGATACTTTGGAAGTTCTGT